AAATCTGATCGAGTCGACTGTATTGGGCTATACATATGCACGAATATGGTCACAGGACTGTCGCAAGCAGATTTTAACTTCAGATATGAGCATCACATGATATAAATGAACTCTTAACCTCAGAATTGGCCAATCAGGGATTCGTTTCAAAGTTCACTTACGTAACACTTTGCGTGCAGTTGCCATGTTATCATGGCGTGGTATTTGAGCTGAGCAAACAGCGCGTTTGTTTGGTCATGGTAGGGTGAACTCCTGGCTGGTAAAGCCCAGGTACACGACTAGCAGTGTTTTAATAGTAAAGACGAACATACCTATGACAGTTAGATCAGTGGACCATGGCTTAACAACCCGCCCTAAGAATTGTTACTTATATACAACTTAAGATTCATTTCATTTATTTCATTTATTTCGAAACCTTTTAGCCCTGCAGGGCTAGTCTTCCAAGGCTCAAATACATCGAATACAGGCACATCGTTACATATATACATAGAAAATAGTGCATAAGATACAGTGCAAACGTTTAAAAAGACATCAAACATCAAACATTTAAAGGAACGCACAAATGAATATTAACAGTTTAAAACCTAGAGGTAGGCTTCATGTGACACTGTTTACTATGGCTTTCTTAAACTTGAGAAGGTTACTCAGACTCATGACTTCTTGGTCCAGACGCAATGTCACTACCCACTGGATTAGGCACGCTACTTACTCTTGGTTTTCTATCAGTGTTCAGAGATGTTTACAGTTCTGAGAGGTTTACAGTTCTGAGTTCTTAATGTCGACCAAGCTTTCCATGACTATTCTTTTACTAGCGTTCGCTTCCTCTACTCAGTTCAACTTCCGAGTCGCTAGCCCTCCGTTGTCGCTCCCGTTTGTGACCAGGTGAGTTTGACTGCGAAGCGGCAAACTGCTGGCTGACAGGAAGTGGCCCGACGATCTCCTCCACCACCTGCCGGAAGTGGTCTGGTCCATACTTGAACAGTCGCCAGGGGTCCAGGTTCCCGTACCTGTGCGTTTAACGACAAACAAGATCAAGAAAATCGATAAAGGTTGGTTCAGTCACAAACGAAAAGTAGTGGATGCTACTGTGTGACAGGTCTTGAAATTCATCAATTTGCCTGCGGAACTGTTTTGTAAAAAGCATAATTCGCTCCTTTTGCAATTTACAGGTTTGTTACAACCTTGATGATAAGGCTGAGTTTGAAACTTTATTTTGCAACATGTGAACAGTACGTTGCAAATATCAAGTTTATGCTGTGTAATATGTTTTTTTTTAAACTCACCCCATGTGTTCGTCGTGGTGCCCAGGCATGGACGCCATCTTGCGAAGAATCTCGCGCATGACAGTTGTGTGGCAGACGGTAGATCTCATCGTTTGGCCACCTGGAGGGACATATTCATTATATATAATGAAATTACTGAAGAAAAGGAGTGCATAGGAAAGTCCATAGACATGAATGTACAGTATACAGTTCCACCTTGTACTATGGTCCTTTGTAGACTAAATAGGTTTACGGTACTGCTGCTTATGTTAAGAACCGTGGAACTATAAACAATTATTGGTCACACAGAGCTGTGCAATGTAAAACCATTGAAAAAATTAGAAAAGAAACATCTTGTCTAACAAAACAATAGATCTAGGCCTAAACTATCGTACCTGTCGTGTCTGCGTACGAGATCACCATAGCTGCTATGCCAGCAACTATTGGCGTCGCCTGTGATGTTCCGGACCTGGGCACTCCTACATCTGGAGAGGGTATGTCTTCCCCAGGTGCGAGAAAGTCGACCTCGCGTCCAGTTGGGGTGAAGGAAGACGGCTGGCTCAAATCGTTGCAGCTTCCCACACAGATCACGTCCCCAAATCTCGCGGGAAATGCGATATTTGTCACATGCCTTCTCCCGTCGTTACTTGCGGCAGCGACCACCACTTTGCCTTGGGCAATCGCTTCAGAAACCGCCCGCTTTAAGTCAATGTCAAATATGTCGCCTCCGAAAGACATGGAAATAATGTCAACTGGACAGTAGTTCTTGGGGCCGGACTCGTCATTCAACAACCAATCAATGGCATCTGCCGCCCATTTTAACTGACCATGACCTTGATTGCTGATCACCTTACAAACCACCAAACGTACGAAAGGAGCTGTCCGGAGCACTATACCTGCACAACCCGTCCCGTGACCATTATAGTCATACAAGAGGTCATTCGCTTCGTTCGGCACGAAGTTCTTGACAGCGGCAATCTTACCATAAATAGCGAATTCCCTATGGCAAGCGAGAATCCCTGTATCCAGGACAGCGACTGTGACACAGCGAGAGGGGAATATGTTTTGTAGCGATAGCTTTAGCATGCTGTAAGGGTACTGTTTTCCACCAAAGAAAGAAATTCTATGTGAATTTTTATTTGAATTTCTCCATGAGTCAAAACAAGTGGACCTTGCGTCCCTAGTTAGAGTGGCATTATAACAACGTGACATCTCTATTGGCCACTCACGCTCAGATGCTATTCCCAGGTTACTGCACACGTGTACAATAGACGTGTTTGCAGAATCGAAGTAATAATGGACTTTTATGTTTGGAAAGTCTTCTAACGACAGGTCTCGCGATGCCCCTAAAGAAATATCACTCCTCTCACGATCAATGTACTCGCGCATCATGATATGCACTGATAGCATGTTACAGGTGTCCACACGATCTTCGTTGAAAGGGTATACGGCATATTGTTGTTCACTAACATCCATTTTTCTAGTATTCAGGCGTAGGTTCAAACCGAATCTGTCGTAAATTCGGTCCTTCGGGTAATAAGATTTAATTTGAAATAATTTGAGCTGTAGGGGCCGGCGCTGATTGGTTGTAACACAGAAACGTCTCCCGGAGTATCCCCTATCACTTAATAGGAAGTGAATATGAATGGGATTTTGTAAGTGCATATCATTGACTTGTGCACATATTGCGTAAATTTTCTGAAGGCAATCATAATTTTGAAAGACAATATGATCAACAGTTACCCGAGAGAGAATCTTAGCGATGCATTCTGATGCCAACAGACATTCCGTCATGTCAATCTCTGTCTGTACATGCGAACTTCGATCGGAATGCAAATGAAAAGACACCAGTCCAATGTGAACAACACCATCAGCTTCGAGTTTTTCGGTCACTGCATTGAACGCATTGATTATTTTCTTCTTTAAAACTCCGGCTTTGAATCCAATACCTGTAAGGTCCAACACTTTCAAGTTTTTCGCAAACTTCGATGGCGTGTTCTTTATCCAATCGAGGCTCCATATTCTCTCATGATATCCATCTCCGGATGCGAACACCTCTATTTCAGGAAATAGGTTCGCCATCACTGTAGATGTACCGGCGACAGAATTAAGCTTGTGGAAGCGGCTTTTGGTGTCTGAAAGCAGAAATTGCAGCTACAGTTGTAACAGCAATATTTGATTATTAAGAAGAAATGATTTCCCAACGAACCCCAAAAGAAATGCAACAAATTCATGTCCATTTACTGTAGCAACTTGGTTTAGCAATTAAAGCTTGTGCCACATACTCGTATTTATCATCACAACAATATCCTGGTCATGATGCGAAACTTAGTCTTCCTCCTAAAGTTATATACTTGTAACCTGTGCCAAACCAACGAGGTCTAGAACATAACCGCCTTGACAGTCCTGATCACAAACTGTCACAAAAACTAGCCTGGTGTAAAGCGTTATCACCCCCCCCCCATCCCCGGTGAGGGTCCTCTTAATTCTGTTTTACTATTTTTTTATGAAGACGCCATGCCTGCCAGATCAGATATTCGACTACATGTATCACATGTACATGTACAAGCAGCCAACTATGTAGCTCTTGCAAATAGATTTACAACGCAGTAGATGTAAACAATGGCCAGGACAAGTTGCCTGGTTGGTTTACCTTTATACTGGTGATCTTGGGGATGCTTGAAAGTCCGGCGAAATGCCACCTAACACTTGACTGTAAGAGCACAGGTGTTCCTCGTTCTCTGGTGTGAGCTCAAAATGGTGTCATGGAAATCCGCCCAAAAATATGTCGCGATTGGTCTGTACCGGTCACGTGACGAAATGGTGGCGTCCCAACCGTCAAGTAGAACCAGTAGAAGTCTCCGTTGCAGCATTTTTGTCATTCTTAATATGTTATCTCTATGTAACGTTACCTATCCTCAATTGATTCATAAGGTTCTTCTCCACAACCTCAATTCCCTGTATCCCGGGTGTAAGATTGTGTGAAGTATCTCGTTCTGCAGGTGCCTTTTAAGCGTTTAAGGTGTTTATGCTGTTGAGTCCACGCCATTGTGACTTTCCTAAGATCACGTACTGTGACGAGTGTCTCCTTACAACGGTAAGGTGATACAGCAGGATAAACAATGGCGACCTGCAGTCTAAACATAGCGCTTTGTAAACTGCTATACAGTCATCGCCGTCTTTAGATGGCCTCCTGAACCTGGTGTTTGATATCCCCAACGTAATTGAAAACACCGCAGTAGTCCTGGGAATAAGTGACTAGGTCATTGTTCTGGTGGACGTTACGTTAGCATGGTACAAGCCATGTCAAACTGTTTATTTAAGTCAATGCTTAGATATTGCAAAGAGATCTCACACAATGTAAAATCAGTGACCCATTTTATTTTAACATATCAAACAGTAGGAATGACACAATTCCTTCACCACTTCATCTTTAATTTAGGCTAAAGAGGTCATTTTCACCCAGAATCGTCAGTGCATTCATTAAAAATTTATCACCTTGCAATTATGAGCTGAATCATCACAGTAAGCTCCAAGGTCGGGAAATGTTACAAAGCGTAAAAGAGTTATTGCTTGCAATTTTAATTGCTTGGATTGTTATATCAGTCGGATAACGATTAGTCTGTTCAACATATAAGTTGCATGGTTGGAAAAATGCCACAAGGTAAAATGTAGTGATTGCTTGGAATTTTTTGGTTGATGTATGCTGATCACAGTAGAATGATATGGGTAGGGTGTTCAACACCGAAACAAGATGGCCGCCATTGACGCCAGCAGCATGACGGGAAGGGTTGCTTGTAGAGCCGGAGCAAAACTGGTAGCTGTAAGTTTGAACAGTGGAAGTTAAATGGTACATGTAAAAATGATATTAACCTGCATAAAGTAGGTTAATATTGACTACGCAATGTTTTGTAAGGTGATCGTCTTTACAACGTAATTTTTCTATCACCCAACACCTAAAAAATTAAATTATGACAACCTACAAAAGACACAAATATACTATTCAATTCTATTGTAGCTGAATGATAGCCGAGTGCAGCAAACTGTATTCTCTAGCAGACCAACTCCCCTGGCATGTTATCACTCTTTGGCCAATTTCTACTCTTTCCAGCCGCGTCCTAAAGCCTGTTACAGGCTAGCTGAATGAGAGAAACCAGTATAATCGCACAGCAATTTCTTTTTACCTGGATCCTTGGCGTCCTGCCACGTCTCGGCGTCCCAACCGAGTTTTTCCCTGTTCTCCCAGTTCTTCTGTTTCAGCCAGTCTGTCAGGGGCTTGAAGTACTTCAGGAGGGAACTAGCGGTCATCGACCTTTGCCCTGTGATAGCCTCCATAGCTTCAGGCCAAGGCCGACTTGTGCCCATCTGTAGCATAGCCCTGTAACATTCAAAACATTTAGAGGTTTTGCTTTTCAATATTCAATGTTTAATTCTTCTAAACTTATAAAAACCGAGATATCAAAACCGGAAATTCCACTGCAGTACCATACATTACAAGCCGCTAGGTAGCCCTAAATCAAATCATTTCAAGGTCTTATCAAGACCTATCCACCAACAAAGTTTCTTAACAATTCATCATGACAGTGTCTTGAGCTATCGTGCTCAACCACAAATATACATACGACACACACACACACACGCGCGCGCACACACACACACAGACACAAACACACACACACACACGCACGCGCGCGCTAACAAAAAGATATCTTTCACGGCAAAGGTAATAGAAAATACTCACTTGAGTTTATCCCCTGCGGCTGTTGACCGGTAGATGTCACACGTGTGGAGGGGACCGGTGTGTCCGGCCTCCCGACAAAGCGCCTCGTGGAACTGGAACTGGATCACGAAACTCACGAAGTACCTGCGTCACAAATAGGGAAAATATGTCTTAACGCTTCCCGCAAATTTTCAAACCTCTAACTGGCTTCAGAGGCGGTTCTAAATAGTAGAAATTGGCCAAACAGACAGATAACATGCAAGGGGAGTTGGTACGCTAAAGAAGTACAATTTGCCGCTGAGAGGCTACAAAAACGTATCTGTATCGGTATAGCGCGGTATAACGTACCAAATATCTGACAGCTCCTTGGTAATAATGTCATAATATGGTTAATAGTTAGTCTAAAATATAGAGTAATTCATATTTCTAATTTCCAAAGGATTTTAAAACATTTCCTAACGTACCTGATGTAGGGTGTGTTATTAGGGATGTGGAACTTGCAGCCAGGATCAAACAGGGTCTCATCTCTTGTGCTCGGGGGCTTTATTCCCTGGTACTTCGTCCTACAACAGAAACACACACAATAATAATTAATAATAATGAATACCTACGACCCTTGAATTTTCTAATAGGTACTATTAAGTCATATATGTGTTCTAGCGCAAAAAAAAACTGGTGTGCTGAAGACCATACAGAGGTGGTCCTGTGTGCTATGGTGGCGTAACGAGCAGGGATGTGGGTCTCTCCTTGGTGCTGAAAAGTATATCCCTTACTACAGGCGTTTGTTTTGTGTCTTTGAAAGGTCGCTAGGAACTCGAAATAGAGTGCTTATACATACAGACAATGCTTGTTGTGTATTCAATCGTTCTGACAATCGTTCAGGTGAATTTTCGTACCTATTTGTAAATGAGTTTAATAAAGTTTGCGAATTTGCTTTTTTTTCACAAGAGCTAAATGCGCGTGACGTTACCGTACGTTTTACCATACGCGACGTATCGACCCTAGCAGGCCACGTTGACACACAAAATGGTGACTGTGTTTTTACGTACGTGCGTAATTTTTACACGTAATAATGCTATAGACGCACCCCCCCCCCTAAACCTACCTGAGTCTCCACCACTCGGCGTTGTAGTTATCCGGCCCGACGCTCCCGTCGAAAACCCGCCAGCGCCACTGGTCTATCAGATACCCGAACGGCAGGAAGGCGATCTTCTCCAGGGCAGTCGCCATCAGGAAGTTTATGTCGGCGTCTGGACAAACATCAAATACAAAATCAGAAAGAAATCAGAGATTTCTAACATCTGGGAAGAGTTTAGAGTTTCTGTGAATTTATTGGCCCAAAAAGGGATAGTCCGGCGTACTTTCAATGGGCCTAAAACAAAAACCTAGCGGAATGAAAGCTTGCTAGGAATTTGTCCCATGTCACTCGGTCAACAGACACCGGGCCAACATTCTAGCGGCTCCGGTCAGCTTTTGGGACCTCACTCCCTGTGTCTGATTACTTTTTGTGGTCTATGGTTAGGGAATCGACCCCCCCCCACACACACACACACTTCGCATAAAAATATACAGTGCTGGAAGCGAGCATAGTTCCCGAAGAAGAGAATAAGAGGGTGTCTTACCAGGATCCTCGGTCACTTCGTCCAGCAGACCGATCTGGTTGAGATGTTTCGGTGTGGCTACGGACAGAGCCAACACGTCCCCTACTGCCTCATGGAACCCTGGGTTAGCGCCTCCTCTGGATAAGGAAAAGGATGATAAAGGGAAGGTAAATGTAGTCCCAATGCAATTTTCAGGCCGTAGGGGGCAGTGGGTTGTTAATCCACTGTGTCTAGGCCTCAGCATTGAAAGGGGGCTACCCAGGGCCCAACCGTCTCCTTCCACCGCCTTTTACCTCCCCAACATAAGCCAGAGTCAGAGACGTTTAGAATGATTATGGAAGCCGTTTAATCATTCTAGGCATTATTGCAGTATGAACAGTTTCGTGGACGTTATAATGTTACTAACTCTGTAGTTACCTACTCATTACCTAAACATTATAGTACATGTACATATTATATTACCTGTAAATAAGAGGCTGGTCGGCGTACTGTATGTAGTACTGTATGTGTCCCATTTCGTGGTGTACAGTCAGAAGATCCTCCATTGTAACATCTGTACACTGTTTAATCCTGCAAAAAACATTGGATAGCTAAAATCAATACAAATGCTAGGAGTTCGGGGATATATCAGAACGCTTTGGTAGTCACAGCCTCTGAACAAATGGATTCATAGAAAGGTAACACTAGAAGGGTAACATTTGCAAAGCAACATCCATACCGCTTGTCTTTACCAAGGCTCCTTGTCTTTACATGCTTAATTCTTACTGAAACGAAAATGAAAACATTCCTGTATGATACAGTGACCAGCCCCAACCTCTCTCCTGCCACTTGCTACATAATGTAACCCAACGCCACAGGGTTTCTACCACAGAACCAGTAACCATTGTGACAGCCGTTTTGTACTAGTTCAGGCCATTGGCATTTATTATTTGTCAGAAGAAAAACCAAAAGGAAGAAGGAAGAGAAAGAGAAAGACGAAGAAGAGGAAAAAGGGAAACAATGTGTTTTCTTTCTGGGAATGTAAATATAAATTTGTGACCTGAAGTCCCTGTCCTTGTTGAAGTCCCAGGCCGAGGCGTAACAGACGACCTCCCTGCCGTCAGTGGGCCGGACGATCATGGACTTCTCCCAGAAGGAGTCCGGCATGGCGCCCAGTCCCAGCGACGTGAAGAACTCCTCAGACACGCGGAACATTCGCGTGGCGTTGTAGTTCTATAACAAGAAGTCCGTAAAGAAATTTGAGTTAAGGTAGTTCAAGTCTATATAGCCATGCACCCTGGGCGCGATGCCTCATCGCATCGAGGGCTTTTTCCAGTTTAATGTAGATGTATATGTAGAAGTCATACTGTGCGAAAAGGAAACTATCTGTATCTAATGCAAAGAGGACACATTGTGTACATTATTTTGCCTCTACCAGGCTTCATGAGCGGCTGGAATAAGTAGAAATAAGTAGAATACGTAAAAGACAGATAACATGCGAGGAAAGTTACTTCACCAAAGTTTGAGAGGGACAAACAGCACTCTTTAGCGGGCTAACTCCCCTCGCATGTTATCTGTTTATTTGGTCAATTCCTACTCTTTCCAGCCGCCTCTGAAGCCTGGAAGAGGCTATAGATAGATACTGACCAGTTCCACCATCTTGGGTGTGACGTCAATGCCGCCAGGCTTGCTGGGATACGGCTCCACCAGGTCAAAGATGTTGTTCCACTGTTGGGACCACATGTTACCTTGACGGGCACAAAAAGGATACTCAATGTTATCGTCAAAATTAGACACTTTCCTCAGAGCTTCTGACTGGAGTACTGCTTCTCGCCTAACATCGGCTACATATAGCGGCGAGAGGCAGTGCTCCAGTCAGAAGCTCTAAGGAAGGTGTCTGATAGACATAGAAACGTAGGCAGGTGTAGTCTCCACCAGACTCTTTTGCAGGCTGAATAAATAGTAGAAATAGGCCTAAAAAATGTAACTGGTCAGGGAAGAAGGTCAGAGAGGGTCCAGTTTGCCTGCACAAAGTCTGTGAGAAGTCGCTATGATAAAAAGGCAAAGTGGACCCTCTATGGCCGGCTAACTCCCCTGGCCAGCTATATTCTTTTTAGGCCGATTTCTACCATTTATTCAGCCTGTAAAGGGGTCTGGTGGAGACTTAAGCTCATCTAAGTACTTACCGAGCAGATGAGCAGGTATGGGGTCTGTGAGGCTGACCCTGCTGCCGTACGTGTCCCTCAGCTTCCTCCTGACGTAGGCGTGCAGGTTCAGGTACAGCGGCTTCAGCTCCTCGTAGATGTTCTCCAGATCCCGCTCGAACGTGTCCACCTCGTACCAGGACCTCCAGCTCGCACCGGTGTCCGAAAAACCTAGCAGGAGAAAGCGGTAAACTTTTATTTCAATTTTCACATATAGTGAAATGAAACAAAAATATCAAACGTCATTTAAGAACCTTACAAAGACCTTTTATATAGATCACGCCGAATCTTTACATGCACGAGAAACTTTTGCAGTAAACTTTAAAATCCGCATTTGCTTATGACATTTTTGGCATGAAAACTTATATAGGTTAGGATTAGGATTAGGATCAGGATCAGGATTGGGATCAAAGAACTACCAGATTTGCCCCATGGCCCAGGTACGGGTCTGTATACGAGTGGGCTATCCATACGTTCCTGAGCATAGTCTGTAGAAAGCTCGTACAGCTCTGGATACGCGTGGACTTTCTATCCAAACCGTACCTGATCTTGGTTCTTGTTAAAGCCCTGTTCTGGATACGTGTGGACTATCCAGGACCGTACCTGAGCATGGTTCTGGATACAACAATACCGAAGTTATTCTATAAATGTGCAACTTCCCTCACGTACCGTTTGCCGCCGCTGCTTCGTTGCTGAGCGTGACGAACTCCTGGTAGAGCGGCCTGAGCGGCGGCCCCACAGACGCCCTCCAGCCGTCCCAGATAAACTGTAGACGGTCATAGTCGCGTCCGCTCGCCAACTCTCGCGTCAGGTCTGCGCGAGATATCGCGAGAACACAATTAGAACCCACTCTTTAGATTATACTATGTGTCAAACAGACATGTTCAACGCGGGTTCAGAAGCAGTTCCGTTTAGCCAGCAGTTCCGTTAGGCCAGGGGCCGGTCAGACCCTACTTTTGCCGAATTCTACCATCCTAACCCCCTTAGGAAGGTTGGGTGGGGGGCTAGGGGGTTTAAAATCTTAATTACCTTCGCCAAGAAGGTTATGTTTTCAGAGGCGTTCGTGTGTCTGTGTGTCTGTAAACACGATAACTCGAGAAGGTTTTAATGGATTGTCTTCATACTTGGTAGGTGGGTAGGTCTTGATGAGACCTAGAAATGATTAGATTTTGGGCCCACTGGCGGCTTGTTGTGGTACTGCAGCGGAACTTCCGGTTTTGATATCTCATGATCTGGACGTGCTGGGGTCACGAAATTTGATTGGTAGATAGCTCTTGTTACGTATGTATATACAAGATGAAAGGTTTCTTAAGTAAACCCTAGGTCAGTCCTTTATCTTTTGCTATATATATACTAAGAGATTTGTAGATGTGCTAGTTTATTACTGAATTCTGCCGCAGACCGACTTACCCGGTTCGAACACCATACACTGCTCCTGCCCGCCCACAGTCTCACACACTCTAGCCGTGCTGTAGATACGCCTCATCTCAGCCTGCACGTTCGTCAACTGTATAATGTATCAACAGCACACAAGTGTCAACAATGTACAGGTAACTTTAGCTACTGTCCAAGCAGAGGTTGGTGGAAAAGGTTGTGATAGTTAAGGGAACTTAGCTCATGTTTTGTTATCTTAAACTTGATGCCTTATTTTATTTTCGAGGTCTCTTTTAAGGTCTAACCATTTAAGCCTTCACATACACACACTCAATGCTTGATCATACATGCAGATGCATCATTCTGTTAACTAATTAAACAAAGTTTACATACCCGCTCCAGTTTGGTTTGATTCTGCAGGGCGGCGCTGCCGATGTTTGTGATGGAGTCGAACTTCCGCTTGGTGTCGAACGACATTCCAGACCAGTCAAACATAGCTGTGGCGTTCTGCGCTACCTCCTTGGTAAACTGTGACGTCTCCAAACTAACCTCCACCTGTAGAAAACAAGAAACGCTTTTAAGTTATATATAATTATGAAAAAAAAAACCTACACACCAAGCAGAGGTTTGGGTTTGGGCTTATTTTTGGTGTCTTTTGGGGCATTTTATCTGCTTTCGTTATTGCAGTGGTGGCGTAAAAAAAAGGGTACCTGAGTACAAAAAAGAAGGCCCGATAAAAAAAGCCTTAAAAATACCAGAAATAAGCCAAAACTAAAATTAATGCTAAAACCAAAATTAATGCTACTAAGACTGGACTATTTGTAACGGAGATATAATGTGAATAGTCTATTATATTAGCGGCAATGTGTGCATTCGTGTCTAGACGTTGTGTCCTTGGGAAAGGGACTTCTTTCCGCACTTCAGAAGTTCTCCCAGTTCTAAAATGGGTACCGGCCTACGACCTTGGTGAGGTGAAAGGCGGTGAAGTGAGAGAGAAGGTCTTCCAATACTGTGCCCTAGACATAGTGAATAAACAGCCCATTACCCCTACGGCCTCCAAAAGTCAACTATAAGTAACAGTCATATCTGATAAGGTTAGTTGGGGGTTCGTGACGTTGTTTACACTGGCATTAACTGGCTGTTAGTAGCTCAGCAACGTGTACAGGTAAGATAACCCACTGTTGCTCTACAAGAACCGTTTGAGATATATACAGGCGATACGGAACGACTGGATTTCTGGTGGCACTTTACAGTGTTTTATTAGGTTATCTATGGTGATATCGTTATGTCCACAACTTGTTTCTCAATGTCACAGATACAGTTGCGATAACATAGGAGGCTATGTCTGCCACTCTCTTTGATACAGCACTGCCCCGAACAAGCAAACCCTCCTCGAAAAAAAATTTCGATATTTTATTGGGATACCCGCGCTTTAGCCACTCATACAAACAAGCGCTGACCCTATAATTGTATATATTGACAGTTCCCGCACTTTTCTTCTGATCCTACTAGAAGTCTACACAGGAGGCTAAGCCTTGCAAAGATAGCAACAACAGTTACACGGGATGCGCCAAACTGCAACAGGAAACCCTCTGTGTATCGCCTAACGACGGTTAAGTTCAAGTACAAAAGATTAGAGTTCACCATGGACGTCTGGCAGAGACGGGTACGGTTCTAACATGATACAGGTGCAGGGAAAAGTACGGTAATCCCGAGGGGACCATTAGGCCACACTGACTTAATTTTATGGATGACATCCGCGCGCGCATTGATTTTCGCCTGTCGCCCTCAAAAAAAAAAAAAAGGTCCACCGAGGCTCTAGCCTGGCTCTAGGCCTGGGTAGTCCATGGTAGTTAGCGACAATACGGAGCCGAGCACCCAGGCTATCGAATTCGAAGCTCCGCGACTCAAGAACTCAGTACATAAGTACAGTACCGATTCATAAATGCCGCAAAAAGCCAGCATGTCGTATACGTTGCTAAGTACTGCCGCAAATTCACAATACCAGCTTTGTATTCCTGTGGTTTAGTAGCATTTTTATTTTTTGCCGGAATTTTTTTTATTCGCCCGCGCGCACTAGTTTGGGGGTCTTCAGAGGATGTTATCCATAAAATTAAATCGGCGTGGCCTTACTCTCCAATCAAAGGCTTAGGTTTCGATGTTCTCTTCTCATGTAGATAGGTTAAAACAGGTCCTTCAGAAACAGGTAGATCCTCCTGGAATAATAGTCCTAGAGTGTTGACAGGTACACAGGATAGCTGACAAGGGGCACTCTTCAATACCCTCTAACGGAGTTAGGCTTCGACTCATTTTTGACGTGTTTTTGAACATTCCTATTTATTTGTACTGCTCAATGAATCTTACATATACAGCTTACAAGCGTTAGTGGGAAAATTCCGTAGACTTAAAAGCCGATCCCCGCGTGTACAAGACAGATCCTTAATAATTCCAGCAATTCAAACAAGCATATGTAGCCACTTGAATGTAGGTCTATAGCTAGCTAGGCAAAGTGGTATACCTGTCTGTCATCTGTGCCTATGTATTGCATCAAACTTTAAAAGATTAGTGTGAAATTGACGAAAGGAATTTCATCATGTTTTAAAACTTTGACTAGCCATACAAAACCACTTTAATGTGTTTCTAGAATCATTGGCTTACTGTACCTCAATTCAGTCTCGTTATCGCTAAACCATTACAAACAGGGCACTTATGGTATAAAGGTTGTTGCAAATCTTCTACTCTAAAAGGCACGGTCATTGGCGCAGAAAATTCCTTCACAGTTAGTTGAACGATTTTCCAAAGCAATGACCACATCTAATATGACCTTCAATCGATTTTAACCTGGATCACGGAAAAATGTACCCCGAAATGAGATGGGCTGTCCTCATGAGGGCAAAACCTTAGGGGAGTGTCAGGAAGGATCATAGGGAAGGGGGCACTCGTGTCAAGGGGCGGTGCGTTTTTCATACTGTTGAGGGTTGGTGCATAATGTTTCTTCTAATTCTATGCTGTCCTTCGGCATTTCGTTCAGTCGACATTTGTTCTTTATTTGTTTAAAGTTAAAACTTTTGGTCCAACACAAAAAATTCTCTCACCTAGAGCTTTCGACCAGTCACTCTGGTCTTCCTCAGTAGACTAGTAGACTGACCCAGTGAAGCTTTCAACACTGGGTCAAAGGTATCTGGTAGACGATGTCGGCCCCCGTCGCGGTTCAATGTAGGGTGATGGGCCCTGATGTAAATGGCTTCCTTCATTGTTCTTTATTTGTTTTCTTCAAAGTCCGAGCCTTAACTTCATTTCTGATATGTTTGTGACAGTCACAAAAGGGAGAGAAAAACAGGCTCACAAATTCAGCCCGGATGGTGCAATCGGAGACACTGGCGTGTCAAAGCAATGTCATGGGCACGGTAATACAAAACTCGTTTGCAACGGCTGTTGTGTCAATAATGACTTTTAAATGGAGACTTCGCTATTCATATAGCCTAGTAAATGATTTATCATGCCTTTATATAATAGTAGCAACGACCTCTGCTAAGACGTTACCCAGCAAAACCTTGTCCCAATGTTGGGAAGAATATTTAAACAGTAGGCGTGGCAGGTAAAGTACCTTTGTGGGTTTGTTTGTTTCTTTTAGCAGGTTTGAAACCTCTAGACTACATCAGGACAGTTTGACAGCCAAAATCATGAGAAAACCTAAAACCCGGCCAAGAAAAATAGAAGACAGTTTTTGACTGAACAGGTGGATTTGGTTACACGGTACTCAACAGGTTCGGGTCAAGGCGAGTGTCTGCCACCCCCCTCCAACCCTGCCCATGACTGTTTTTGTTATTGAGCGGACCGGCTACTATCTCCTTGAAGCCTAGGGCAAAATTTTGAGGAGCTTGAATTTGATGAGACTGAATCGCCAGTGTCTGGAGCGGCTGCCATTCGGCGCTAACTCGGGTGACTTCAATGCGACCCCGGGCCTGGCCATATGGGACTGTAAGGTTTGAACCACTCACACCGGGAAGGACCCCTACTCTTATAGATATTAAAAAGTGGTGCGATCTTATATAGCAATGTCCATGGGGAGTATTAACTGAGGTGGTACTGTATAATGCTGTTGTCTATGCTATAATGCCGTTCAGATTTGGCATTTAGAAATGGATTGTTCGCTTCACTTAGCAATTATACAAATATCCTGACAAATATACGTGTACGGTTGGGACTTTCACGGATAGAACCTCCAAAACGGAAACACAAAAGGACGGAAATAGTAACATCACACTTGTACAATTGCATCATCCTGCTACTAAATCTGTTCTAAATTCAGTCATCGCGTGGGAGTTTTGGAAAAGGATATGCTTTAAACTTACCTGTCTCTGCTGCGTTTCGTCTGTGATGTTTGTGTTGTAGGCCCAGGAGGCGACCGAACTCTTGTAGTAGACATCCTGAGCCCGAGTGTTGTACCACTCTAACCACTCTGTCGCTGCAGCTTCGTCCGTGCTGGGTGTTCCCGCTACACTCAGGATAAAAACCGCCAGAAGAACGGCTAAAACAGGCGTGGATAGGCCCGGCATGTCGGCGACTCAACCTTTGGGTGTCCTGGCTATGACTGTTAGGTCCTGAAGGGGCGTTGTGTTTACACTGGACGTACCATTTCACTCGCGCTTTGTCCTCCAAGCACTTAACGTTTACATCTACTATTTGTGTATGAAGAAGAGTAAAGGAGAAAACCAATAAGATGATTTTTACTGAAATTTGTGTTTAGATTGACACTGATAAAATACGGCAAATAGCACTGATCTTTACCACCTCCCCTCTAGATGATTAATGGTTTACCCCCTTTATGGCTCTATGTTCAGGTCGGCACATTGTGCAGTGCAGGTTAAGGGGTTGAGAGGAAGAATGGACACCTGACGTCTCGGGGCCGGCAACTGTCGGGTGGGGTAGTCGCTAGGGACGCGATTTTAGCCAGGCTAGAAACTCAACCAGCTAGCGGCTTAACTTTTGCGTCAAAGCTCTGATCCGTTTTGGAAGGTTGAAGGTGGGGTGCGGCAGAGTGCGCGACTCGGAACCAAGAGGTCCCGGGTTCGAGTCCTGACATGCCACCGATATTGTGCCCTTGGGAATGGCACTTAACACGACTTTCCTCACTTCGCTCAGGTGAAAATGAGTATTGTCCTGTCATGTATTTGTTCCCTGTGTTGGTGGCGGCATTAATATAAGTTGATAAAACTTGAGTGTGTCGTCACCACGTCTGGTGATTACATGTTGGAATAAAAAAAAAAGACAAAAGCATCTAAATTAATTTTTATAAAAAATCTAAAATAAAAGAACGCATCTAGACTAAAGTTGAAGGCAACAGGTGAGGTCTCATATATGATGAGTCACTATTGAACTATGAACTTTCACTTATCTAACACAGGAGGCTAGCCTCTACCAAGCTTCGCGAAGCGGCTGGAAAGAGTAGAAATTGAAATAGATAACATGGCAGGGGGATTGGTCATCTAGCATGTTTTCTGTCTGGCCAATTTACTTATATAGGACAGAGAGAATAGAACAGAAGTACCCTATAACGTTACCAGTGTCATTATGATGATTAAACGTTAATTAACATGTGCTTGAATGAAAAAATAATCATCTTCTCAATCAACAATGTTGTAATTTGCACTTTTATTTTCCATATTTTCAATTTCAACTATACATTTTAAGAAGTCTTCATCTTTTCATTGTACTATCAATCAAAGGTAGCCATATTGTATAACTTTATACAGTACTGAAAATCACTGCATCCTGGTTTGTGCTTAACATACGTACAGTGGGCACCAAGAAAGTCGTAACAACCCTTCAACAAATGGTATACTCTATACATGTGCCCGTACTAATATGTAAACGTTAACCCCAACTTTAATACAATTTACTATGTATTAGCAATGAGGATATGTCTTTCAAAGGCCTGTACTTGTTCAGCAATGGTAAACCGTTATTTGTTGGGATTAACTAAAAAGTGATCATTTTTACAGCATAAGTTAATAGAAAGTGGATAGCTTGCCCTTCACCGGTTTACTGTATGTTTAGTCACATGCAGTGTTCTCAACTAACTGTTTTATTGTAAGGCCCCCCTAAACTGTGATTTGGACCCCCTATGCTGTGATTTAGCCCCCTTGTGAGCAGCATAGGTGTGTTTCTTTTTTGGGAGAACCCTGGGAGAACCTACAAATCTTGGGAGAACCTACAAATCTTCCAACAAATTAAAATTTGACATCAATTTGAAGCTTTAACACAGGGGAAACATAACAGAAAATTTGTCTCTTACATAACACAAAATTTGCCCATCATAGACCAGGAAATAGTGTCTCCGAGGGTTGTGAGTTTCAAAATCTTTTAAGGGCGAATCCCCTACTGTGGTTTATGTCTTTGGGACTGGATGTGTGGCTTGCACAGCAGAAAGTTACCCTTCTGTACCTGAACTTTACACTGCGAAAAATCCTGGTGAGAACTCTGCTATAAGTCAAACCACATTTGGTAGATCCAGCATGTCGGCAGAACGTACTGCACCTGCACAAAACCCGTAATGTATTGTAGTACATAGCACTTCAGCAGAATGTCTCATATAAGGTTGTATTCGCTCATATAAGGTTAGCATTTCGACAGTAGTTTCCAAATGTTATGTCAGAAAGAATACCCTCTGCAGCAGGCAAAATTCTGATGCAACGTTGACCAAAAACCCAACGAAAAACACGAAAATACGGGGTTCTGCGCAGGTGCAGTACGTTCTGCCGACGTGCTGGTAGATCCCTGCATGTCAAGTAGATACTAAAGAATACCACATTTCAGTCCAGTGATATATTAACTTTAATTGATACAAATCGCCTTTTCTATAGTCAAGTTTCCTCCTGTTTTCATCTTGTTTTCCTGAATTGTTTGCCTTTCTATATTTGTCATGGAGACATTTTTTTCACAAACCATGTTTTTTATTGCCTTTCTATGATTGAGGTACTATTGGGAAAATATGAATGGAGTAATCCCAAAAATCATTATTTTTCCTACGTATTGTAATGTTATGGAGAAACCCTGACTGATTATCCAAACATAACGACAAGAAAAATTATGTCAACATTACCCCCCCCCCCAGGCCATTTCATCAAATCGACTGAGAAAAGCGCTGTCATGTGACCGATTCCCACAATGCAGTGCCTTGAAGCGTTACTGTGCTGCATTGTGGGATAGAAGTGGTCAAAGGTCACTTGATATCGATAATTCCGCTGCTTGGTTGTGCTGTTTGTTGGAGACTTCTCAACTCGCTTGAACTCCGACCTAGAATAACACAAGAGACATTTTTTTACCAATAAATCCAACGTGAAGATAAAACAAGAATGTAAGCAAATAAAAGTCATCAATAGACTGGTTAAGCACAAAAAATCAAAGTATATAATTATTCGTGAAATAATTTCACACAGAGGAATTTGTTCAATTTTACTGCAATGTCTTAGCTTCTGGCACCTTTATTCTTCTGAAGTCAATGACATGAATATCTAAACACTATACAATCTATCTGACATGCACACTTAATAACTTATACTGATGAATGCTTTTTTATTATTACGTTAGACTTAAAATTTAAATTTTAAGATCTCTGGGTACAAATTCATGATCTCACCTCCTTTTTGACTTGAGCCTGAATAATTTCTGAGGGGGTGAACTTGGGGAGGGCGAGACCAAACTTTCTCTCGATGCCGGCAAACGTGGCCACTGCGAGGCGGTAGCCGCCGATGTGGTCCGGATTCGGTGGAGGGAGATCCATGATGCTCGGGGCCTTCTTGACCTCTGACCCTTCAGGTCGCCTGGGGGTAAAGTACAAAGGTCATGCATAATACACAAAGCAATTTAAGGGTTTTCATGATATCCAGTGCCATCTTTTCAACAATATAATAACTCTATATCATACATAAATAACGAAAGTTATCTGTTTCAAATTGCCTACAATAGATGATGTACATGTACTTAATAATAATAGTCAATGGTTCTCACTTAGAAGCAAGCTAGTTGTAAGGAAGACCTAAATACAGGTACAAAGCAAAAAAAAAGAAACAAAATTTCATGAATTTTAGAGTACTGGGGTAGTCTTTAAAATACAGCACCATGAATGTATTTCTGAAGCCTTACCTTCCACCAAAGTCGATGTAGAACGTTCTCTGTAAGACCTCGTACACCATCAGGGTCACACCAAACTGGGGGCACGAACGGAACATACGGGCTGGGGGATAACAACACGTTATTCAGGCAGGTTTCAAGTATCGATCATCTCCAAAATTTTAAGATAGTCCGTCTTGATGTCTCAGGAAGTCGTCATACAGACATTTACTAGTATGTCATACCTGGGCCACGTGTACAGGTGTTCTGGCCTGTGTGATCACACTAGCAGTATCACACAGGGTTCTACAAATGACTAATAGTTGACATATTGGCTTTCATAGAATCATTTGAACACGTTTCAGGTTTGCCTAGTGTGTTGCTTTTGAAAATTCGAATGTAATCAGATGTTGGAATTGATGTTGCTACATACAATGTACGGTTGGGTTGCAACCTTGAGTGATACAGAATACACCACGTTGTATTCTATGTTTACGTAGTATACAATAATCTAAATGCGAACGCTTCCCATACAACAGTTAAATTTAAAATTAACTTGTGTGAACCCACCAGGAGCTCCCTTCCAGAAGGCCTTGCCCCCCTCCTCAGCCCAGATTTTCCTGGCACAGTCGAACAGACCCTTGTAGGCCCTGAACCCTCCCCTCTCAGTTAACTAACTCTTTCAGTACAACAGTATTAAAAACAACATGTGAAAACCCACCAGGAGCTCCCTTCCAGAAGGCCTTGCCTCCCTCCTCAGCCCAGATTTTCCTGGCACAGTCAAACAGACCCTTGTAGGCTGTGAAGCCTTCTCGTTCCTTCACCTGGAGTCTCGTCTTGATCACGTCGGCAGGTGTGACCAGGGATGCCGCCGGGGCACCTGGCATGGGGGACAAAATTGGAAAACAGATCAGGGGGTTGTCTGTGCCTCTTGTTTAACGGATGCAGTGGAAAATGAAATATAAGTTGCCTTTCAGAGATGGAAATACGACCTGCATATGCAAGTGAGTGCAGGTAGAAGCAGACCTGTACAGGTATTTCTGATGTCTACAATATACCTGCACTGGGCCATGTACTGGGTTTAAAAAATTATGTACATGTACATGTAGGTTTATGTGGACTCTTATTTGCTGCTCCTATGAAGTATAAAAGCAGTGTTACCACCTATGAATGTAATGGCAAAGTCTTCTGAACAGTTTTTAGTAGCATACATGGTTCCTTACTTCTGAGCAGTGCAGGTAAAATGTTTCTGGTGTGGGTTATTTTCAATGTTAGCTGCAAAAGTATTTCCAGCTCTGCAACACACAGTACTGGAACATTGTCAGCAAATAAGCAACCTTGCTGTCCCACAAGACAAGAAAGAACATGAATACTAAGAGATAGAAAAAAAGGGAAAAAGTGTGGACGTACCAGCAATGGTAGCAGCTATGAGCAGTGAGGGAATACTGACATGGCCGTCCTCGTCGGCCAGGTACTTTTTGCCGTGAGCGTAGACAGGGAAGTAGATCGCAGAGAACGGGATGTCACGCAGAAAACAGGCACTTGCACCCTGCAGATACACAACATTTTACTGTTAGATGAATACTGTAATGCTACAACCTGTGGGGTTAAACACAAATAAATAGCAATAACACGTCACGCAGAAAAGAAGCACTTGCACCCTGGAGAGAGGAATCATACACAAAATTTTCACAACAAAGCAGCTGTACCTTTTTTATGATTAACACTATGTTAATGACATGACTTAAAGAAGTATACATTACTATATATTAACAGTTTCATGAGAAGACTAGTTGGACCTTATAGGTAGAAAAGTAAAGGATGTGCTGTAGCCTTTTTGAGGCTGTAGGTGCAGTGGGTTGTTGATCCACAGTGTCTAGGACACGGTATTGAAAGGCAGAGCCCATTCCTTTTCATCTCTCTTTTACCTCCACAACTGAAGTCAAGCACCCATTTTACAGCTGGATGGACTGACGAAAGTCATATAAAGGGAATTTCTCAGGGACACAGCATCTAGCCAGGAATGCCAGGATTCGAACCCATGACCTCTTGATCCTATCCATGTCCACTGGCCTAGACACACGCCTAAGCCACTTGATGGCACATACCTTATAAAGGCCTGCAAATCCCAGCTCCCTGCACACGTTCAGCGCGGACACCCTGGGTCCTGACTGGATCTCTCCTGCCACCTGTAACCTGATCTTCACTATCTCCAGGGGGTTGGTGAACATCACCTGGCACATGCCACCCGTGGGGGGGGGGGGGTCAGGAAATACAAATTAGACAAGAAAATAGACATACAGAGACATGGCGATTAGACAGGAAAAAAATATTGACTGGAACTTAAAAACATCAAACCACTCAACTGTCACAGCAAGTTGTGATATTATACAAGCACATGAGCTAAAAGATTGTAGTACAGCAAAAACATGCTGATCGTTTAGTGCATTAGCATGGGTGCCAGACTATTTAGGCCAGTTCCTTGGCTCCTGGGCCAACATGCTCCCAAGGAAATTATACCACAGCCCCCTTAGTTTTAGGCTCTGATCAAATACTGATCAACCCTGGCCCTAGCATTTTGCTATGGGTCTGGCACCCAGGCTAGTACTGCACTGAAAGTGCTGTATTAGTCACTCTACACACACCACACAGTTCTCATAATGATTATATAACTTAAATGATCCTTTTTTCTCCTTTGTACACATTATAATTACATAGCCAAATAGTCACTCAAACTCAAACATGCAACAGCAAAACTTACACATCCACCAGCCAACATTTCTGCAGGCAGAGCTATTTCTCGCTTCTTGTTAGTAAACTTGTCTCGTACTAAGTCATTGACCTGTGGACATAAACACCAGGCAAAACCCCAGCAGTGCTGTTAGTACTGGTACCTTAACTTCCAGCTTTCCTGTTCTGAGACATGAAATTGCTGCCATACGCAATACTAGTAACTCTTGCTGAGGGGGACAATAGTACAGGCATACAAGTAGCCTTTTGGTATACACAAGAAAAAGTTACTCAAGCAACTGGATAGATTTTGAAAACTGTCAAGACGTTTCAAGTAGCATCCACTACTTTTCTTGGACTAATGGAATTTGTAGTTGAAAAGTCACTGACAAAAAGTAAGTGGATGGTACTTAAATTGTTCGACAGTTTTCAAAATCACATCCAGTTGCATGAGTAACTGCTTTCTTGTGTATCTCATTGCCTGAATGTCTAAACTTTACCAACGGGTCTTTTGGTATGCAGTAAGTTTTTGATTCTGTGTATGGCAGGAATTTCTTGTCTCAGATAACATGCAGAGCTGTTTATTTTAACAGATCCCCCAAACTTACAGTCCCACCAGCTATGATCTCTCCATAAAGCGGAATCTCACCGCCCTTGGTGGTGAATTTGTCTCGCATAAAGTCGTTCATCTACAAGGCAAATAGGGTTACCCCGAAGAGAAAGGCATAATAAGAAATAAGAAAACAAGAAAGACAGGTTTAAAATATTATTGATTGAGAGGAACAACATTAAAATAGAGAAGTGAAACAACAAAAACAGAAATGCAAAACATTGAAATGCAAACTAAAGAAAATGTTTAAAGTAGAAATAAAACTATACGGGCATGCAACTTGCAAGCACATTGTCTTGGACTACTAATTTTTCTGAAGTTTTTGGAATAAGTCTTCTTAATTGTGTAGTATATCATGCTTTGTAAAAAATGGTTATGCAATACAATGTAGAGAAAGGAAATGTATACACTTAAAAAGTTGTTAATAATAAACAAGTTGAAGTTCAAAGAGGACTCACAGTCAGCTTGATGGCCTTTTCTGGAGCCACTCCCATCAGTTGAGGTACTAAGCCTGTGTCAAATGATATTGTTACAAAGTTTAAGAAAATAGTCAAAGATACAGTCACTGTGATAAAAGTTACAGTAATAAGACATGAATGTTTTCCCAATCAGAACAAAACAAGATATACTACTTACTAGTAAAGCAATTGAATGTATGACAAAATCTACTGTTCCAGAAAGAAAGGAGAAATGTTGCCTAGGTTTAGAAAATATTACAGTGATAAAAGATACAATAGACATGCATAATTTCCCGATCTGAACAAAATAAGATATACTTCTTACAGGGATCGAAATTCATTTTTTTGATTAGGTGCACTGGTGCACCTAACCAAAAAAATTAGGTGCACCAAAAAAAATTTGGGTGCACCACATATTTCCAGTAGTACATTAATAAGTTAAATATTATTAATATCAAATTAATATTCCACACGTAAAGAATGCTAAAAATGATCGTAGCAAGAGTGGAAATTGCATCGCTATGGAAATAACACAGTAATGATCTTACCGAAAAAGGGCAAATTAGGATGCCGAGATCGAAAAAAAAATATAAAAAAAATCTAGAAATGAAAAAAAAATCACACAAAGCCTCAATCTTTTTGCACTTGACTTCTCGGTTGATTCGGTTTCGGACTCCGACTCTGATGACCCGGAACTGGACAGTCGGAAGGAGCTCGGGAGGCCGTGGAGGAGGGCCCGGGAATGTTGTCGAGAGCACATGGCCGCCCCCCTCCCCCTCTGTCTCGGCGCTCCCACGGCACGGTCTGTCCACTTCTCGCTCGTCCGGGCGTGTTTCCCGTTGGTTTCCAGCTTCATCGCTTCCTTCGGGGTTCTGAAGAGCTTGGGCTGATGTTGCCACATCTCGTCGTCATCACGATCGGACCTCGGCTGAAGGAACCGTAGAAGCGAAGTCTGTCTCGACATATTTGTTTTGCTTTGTCATCCACGAATTTCATGGCCGAATTTTGTCGACACCCGGGTTTTGACGATGTGACCTCGAAGATTATCGAAGTCAAGCGAAAACTGCACGAAAACAACATTTTCTCACATGACAAGCCCCCGAGGTAACTCCCAAAAAGCGTCGGAAAGTTCCGGAAGCGAGTTCGCGATGTTTTGGTCACATGACTATCAAGAAACCGGGGAACGAGAGGGAAGAGATCTCATGTCCAGTGTTGTAGTCGGGATCCGGAAGTTGGTGGGTAACGCGAAGTCGGCACTGCGCCGACACATAATTTTTCGGGCTTTAAAAACTGAAGTAAATCTAATTCTATCTCAAGAATTTCAAACAAGCAGTGCATCAAAGGTTTTTTATTATTTTATTCCATCAAAGCAATGTTGGAACTACAGTGTTTTGTACCTTTACCGTACTAATACTACAAAAATATTTAGGTGCACCGGTGCACCCACAGTCAAAAATTGGGTGCACCGATCCAGATTTGGGTGCACTAAGGTGCACATGCACCCATTATTTCGATCCCTGTCTTACCTTACTAGTAAACAATTCAATGTATGACAAAATCTACTGCTACAGAAAGAAAGAAGAAATGTTTCCCTTACCACTATACAGGCCGAAGAAACCCTCGTGCCTGATGACTTTTCTGAAACAGTCGAAGCTGTTCTTGTACATCAGTTCTCCCACGTAGGAGCCGCTTCTCTGGTTCTGCAGCCGGGTTTTTACTAAATCTATGGGGTAAACTGCCGTGGCACCGCAACCTGGAACAGGGGAGGGGGTTGGTTATACATTTTGTACATTGGTTTTAGGGCATGATAAAAGTGATACATGGTTACGTAATAACTTTTCTTCTGTATCCTTTTACATGTTTACTTACTATGGGTATTGTACACGCAGGCACACATTTTACATTCAATTTGTACCTTACATTTACCCCCAGACACATACATTGTACCAACAGATGCATGTTACAATCACACAGATAGACACAGTCCTGTACACACAAACACATATGCGCACATGCGCACACATGCACATGCACACACATGCATACAACACACATACACACACACAATCTTCTTTGTTCTCCCCCTTTATACGTACCTCCAGCTATTCCACCCAGTAAGAACCTATATGCTGATTCTGCAAATTGGACTAAAACCCCCCTGTTCTCTTGTGGGCCCTCCTGAAATACAACCAAACAATATCATACAATTAGACAACACTTTAATAATAAACTTCACTTATACTGAACATTAAATCTTAATGCTTATTAATCAAAAAACATTCTACTTCATGATCTCAAAGATATTGAAAACAGTTTTACATTGTGAATAACATTTTGGGGGTATACATTTACAAGTATACATGTATACCATCTGATTTATTGTCAAGATGTGTTCTTAGGAATGTTGTCTTGCCAGTACTGTTGTGTACCTTTCTCCTTTGTGCTTCGACCATTTCGTACGGTAGTGTTCCCTCCTCTAGTGGTGCTATCCTCTCTATAGCCTCATATGTTATTCTCCTGTGTAAAGAAGAAAGAAAAAGTAGATATTAAGTATGATCACCAAGAAGTTAATTCAATAACTTACCATGTACCGCATAAGCAGTACGCCAGCATTCTGAAACAATTATTTTTTACTTATCAATTTTTTTTGCTTACTATATCACCATGCCAAATCTTTGCTCCTTTTGTATATATAATAATCAACATATTTCCATCAGAATTCAAGTGTTGAACATTGACAGTCATGATTGCATGTTTGTACATGTAGTGAACACATGTAGATGTAGTGATACATTTTGTACACATGTACTAATCTTGATTTGTCTGTATTGAGTTACATATCAGAGCTGTAATTGTGGGTTAGTGGCAGAGAAACTCAGAGCAATCCACACACACCTACACATGTAGCACAAGCCACAGGAAAGAATACACAGAGCAGTGGGGAAACGAGACAGAAACACGAGCACAGTGGTCTGGGTTAGTTTCTGCAGCACTCATAAAAGCATAATTTTCTTCATGCAAAATACAAAACTGGCACCCAATGCTAAATCCTTGCTGTCCTGCATAGTAAAACACAGTACAGAAGTGGGTGAAAAAAAGTCCATTTCTAAGGGAAGAGATATGCATCGGCAAAAGGGAGATTGAAGTTTGGAGTTTTCGAGGTTGCCGTAATCAGTTGAGATTGACAGCTGTCAATCATTGAGTTGCCATGGTAACATTTTTGGTGAAATGTAACATGAACAATGATTGAAATAACATGAAAACTAGCATCAAAATAAGGAACAAAACATGAAACAAATATGTGAAACTACATATGTACTACTTGAAGTTTGCTAATTTGACACACAAAAAAACTTTCTATATAATATATATATTGGGATGAAATGCATGACTGGGGGCTGATCAAAAGAAAAATTCTCCCAACAGAATGATTGACAGTTGTTTCTCCCAGCTGACCAGGGTTACCTTGGAAACAAAATCACCATCCTTACCCTGTACTAAGACTGTTGTCAGACCAGAGGTTCCGTATTGAGTGCAAAGACAAAAAGGGATAATTACGTAAGTACATGTTATCTTTGTGATAAAAACCCTGCTTAACCCCTTAGCAATGAAACAATAAAGAAGACATTAACAGAAAGAAAGATATACAAAAAGAATAATGCACATTTGATGGCACCAGCACCAGCATACTTTATATTTTGTATATAAGTTTTTCTCATCGTGTTGTATTCTAGTATGTTTTGAACATTGGGAAAATAAATTGCAACTGCATTTAAGGGTCTAAATGGGGAAAAAAGCTTCAAAATGGACATGATTTTTGCATTGAATTTCTTAATATAACTTGTGAAGAAGCCATTTGAAGAAATGCTTGGAGAAACAAGTTCATGTAAGATATGACATTGTTCTTTTAAGGGTTCTTAGTGCTGCTGCAAATTTCATAAATTTCAAGTTACGCTGTGACGCATGTCAATATATTTCTAGACAGCATGAGTTAGCAGAAGGGAGAGACAGCAGACAAGAAAGGCAGTCATACACAGAGAAACACGGAAAAGAACAGCCCACACAAATATACAGACATTCTAAAGTATTCAACATGACAAAGATGGAATGCCAACAATTCACAATTTCTCTGAATATTCTGAATCACAAGCATTCATTTATTCCCTAGATAACCAGAGCTTGAAAAAACACTTTCTTCTGCGTACAAAATTACCTGCACTGGTGTAGGTAACATTGAGAATAACCTGCACCAGACTAATTTTTCCAGCACCACTCGTGATCAAAATTGCACCAGTATTTCAAGCCCTGATAGGTCTTACAGAAACGAAGATAACCACTGGATTTTACAAATTACAGAATCTATACACCAAAAAGCAGCTACTCAAGCAACTGGATATGATTTTGGAAATGACCGTTTCCAAAATCATATCGAGTTGCTTGAGTAACTGCTTTTTGGCATATCATATTACCTGGATGTCTAACCTTCATCGAAGTACAGAATGTTACAGAAAGTAATTAGATAATAAGGATGAGTTTGTTCCCTCACCCTGTAGGGTTGATGAGATCACACAGGTGGAACAGGATGTCCACCTCCAGTGGGGTTACCTGAGAAACCTTCTGGGCTGCTATAAGGAACTCCTCTGTAACAGAAGATGCAAGATGGATGTTAAGTCAAACATTACTGTAAAACCAGACAAGCTGGGAAAAGTGATGGCCCAATGTGCCCCTGAAGGAGGCAAGGGATGAACTAAGGTATGATAGTCAGCATTAGAAGTATATTTTAACAATTAATCATTTATCTTTTCATTTATTGAAGACTTCAGTGAGCTGATGACAAGGTGGTATTGTGGTTAGGGTCATTGACTGAGAATTTGGAGGTTCAGAATCAGATCCCTTGCAGGCCTCAGCACTGTGCACCATAAAGTTGGGGGTCCCATGTTTGAGGAGAGTCACACCTCGAGCACATACATGTACACGATCCCAGCACACTTATCAAAAAGAGCAGGGGTCCTTCTTGGTGTGGGTGGATAAAAAACTTTCAGTCCAGTCTTACACAGCTTATACTTACTATATACAAAACTGATTTATGTTATGCCTAAGGATGTTAGCTGGTTTTACAAAACTTGTTTTTCTTACAACACAAACAAACATTTGTGCAAGTCTGACTGACCCCTGGTGATCTCTGCCTTGGGGTTGTGCCCGGCCACTTGTCTGTAGATCTTTTTGACCAGCTCCATGCTGGACAGGAGGTGGTTCAGCCCGGTGAAGTAGGGGAAACTCACCTGCTTCCCTCCTACCAACTGTACAGGATACAGGAACACACATGTTGTTATATAGCTGGTGTGTTATGCCAAAGGGCGGTTATACTGGCTATACTGATACAGACACAGATATGTACACATTAGTACATGCTGGACAGCAGGTGGTTCAGCCCGGTGAAGTAGGGGAAACTCACCTGCTTCCCTCCTACCAACTGTACGGGAACATGCAATTGTTAAGATTAAAGGCATCAAGTGCAATTTTAGAGACTGTGGCAACACAAAAATATTCTGGATGAGAAAATAAGTCTGATGAAGAAAACCTCCTTGGTCTGATAGTGACATTAACTGCTATTTCTTAGCACATACTTGTCATCACTTCATACCTGATGCGTTTGAAATAGCCCCCAAACAAGGAGTCCCTTTTTTTTGTACAGTAACACAAATAAAAAGCTAGAACTAGCCTTCAATATAAATTAAAAGAAGCAGCTGTTTTCTATCCTCGACATCACTTTTTCCCCTCACAGATATCAGTATGCTATGGGATAGGGTGACCAAAAATATTGACACTGTGAAAGTTTTGCAGCATACAGTATACTCACAGAAACTAAGTTCTCCTCTACAAATGGTGTCAGCATATGTTTTCTGACGGTAATCATGATGTCACTGAAGTCCAGCGCCGTGATGAAACCGTTCTTGTTCTTGTCCCTCACTCGAAAAGCGACTCTCGCATGTTCATAGGCAAGCGACTATCGGGAGAGAAAATATTAAGATATCATTATATATCAGTAATAATATTTATCTTCAAGCAGAATCTATGATACAATAGATATGTTTAGCACCATAAAATCCAGAAAATTCTATTCAAATGATCAAAAACAGAAATACAGTTAAAACCATCATAAAGAAAAAATATTTTACAAAAGAGGTAAATTCTTAATAGATTGTTCTTATAATTGGTAATGAAAGTGAATAAATCACATCATTAACTAGTTAATTATCTGCATTCCAATTAGCTAACAAAACTATTAACCAATCCCATTTTAGAATTCATTTTATAAGCATTCTGATTGGCTACTAACAACCAATCACAAAGCTGCAGCAGCTGTGTGCCCAAAAAATTACTAGTAACCAATCCTATTTTAGAATCCCTTTCAAGGGTGTTCTGATTGGCTATCAATAAAAACCACAACCAATCACGTGCCTGCAACAGCTGTGTGAATTCTGCATAGCTGAGGTCCTTCTTCTTGTCCCACCCAAAGTACATTTTACAAAACTCCCCCTCCCAGTCAAATGGTATGTGCTGGTGGATCCTGGTCTGGCTCATCACGCTTTTAAACTCATCTGAGTGGACAGGAAATGAAGAGAAAACAAGAAAAAATGTTGGTTTACTAGATAGTTGGACTGTAAAGAGTAGGCATTGTCCAATCCAATCCAATGCTAACAAAACAGTAAAACTTTACTAAAAGCAAAGAACATTAAGTTCTGTCTTGTGTTCGTTGGTGGAAGTTAAGGCTGCACGTGATATGCAAAGGGTAGATGTAGGAAGTTCTTAACAAGAAAAAAATGTATGTCTTAAATTTTAGACACTATAAAGTATGCTTACTTGCTGAAATTCATAATTATCAATTCACAGTTTACATTATATATTAGCAGGAATATAATAAGCAGAATCAGAGACAGTACTGGTTGTACCTCAATATCCTACAGTTAACAATAACATTGTTTTTCTAATAAGAGTGCGCTGAGAAAGACAATGTTTTAATTAATGTTACCATAGGACACGTATCCATTGCCATTGCTGTCGAAGAGTTGAAAAGCCAGCAGGTAGAGGGCATCAGGAGAGCAGAGCAGAGACTCAAACGCCTGGAACTCCACAAACGAGATCAACCTGCAGAAAACAGCATGCAAAAAAACATCAAGTATGAAAATTCAATACAAATGTACGACAATGCTAGTAATGAACAATGTGTATTAAAGAATGTTCTCATGCAAATATTGTGGACCCTATTTATTTCATTTGTGGACAGTTGACCAAAATTGACAGTTGACTTAAATTGGTTTTACCCATGTCCTGTCCATTCCCCCATTTTAATCAAAGAGTACAGATCCTTAACACACTAACTTTAAGGGTCGTATGATGACAGCATCATTAAATGTACCATGTACTTGTTCACCTTGATATCAAGTACAGTGTATATCAAAAAAATCATTCTGACAGCGCCTACATGTAGATACTGCCTGACCTATGGCATATATAACACTTGTCAATCCACGTATATGTGGGTGTCTATGTCTAAACATGATCTAAAAACAGGGCCTGGCCATCTGATCAGGGTAGAGAGGCTGTTTAGAAAATGGCACTGACATATATGTAACCTTCACTGTTAACCTAGCTGGCATGTACCCAGAATGTCATACCTACATGTACATACCAGACTCCATCATGTAATCAGCTTAGGTGGTGAACTGTTTTTATCTGTCTAATCTGTATCTCAATAATCAGTTGCAAAGTTAACTTGTCAAGTTCTACAACAATGAGACATGTTTTTTTAAACCCTTTACCAGCTAACTGGTGTCTCAGTGGTATCTGTTGTAAGTTTTAGAGTAAATTCAACTGTTATTCTAGTCAGACATCAATCTCTATCAGTCTATGCTCTATGCATTTATTTTACAGCAATATATAGTTTGCAGCGTTTAATATAGTCATGATGTATGCATGGTGCCTTCGTTTACTAGTACATACCTTTACTCATCCATGCATATAAAGGGTAATACCCACAGAAATCCCTGGAGATTCACTTCAATTACCTTTCCGACTGATGTCACATGATAGGGATATCACTGAGCCACTCCGAATTACGTCAAGTGAAGCAATAAATATGAAATGACCTTGTACAACCACTGTTGAAGTCGGGGGAATGCGGTAGGCCTGTTCTGCATCTTTCCCCCAACATAAATTGTTTCATTATCTGTGTTTTTTTATCTAAAGGTTGAATTAGCTATGTTCTGTGCTTTTTGTAATTTTGTACACTCCCCTGAAAACCAGGTTGTTTGAAGCTGAAAATATAGTATGTGGTGGGTAAATTGAATACATGAACATTATACTAAAGCTAATGATGATGAAGCACTAGTTCTATGCATCACCCATCATCTACAATCATTTTTTCTATCAATAATAATGGCAGGTATCTTAACAATGCCTCTGAATTTTGTGCTCTCTTAGACTTACTATCACACTGATGCTGAGGCTTGCTGGCAGCCTGTCTGCCATCCTATGCAGGGGTTTTTCTAGAAAAATCTGGCATGAGGGAGCGGTATCACGGCGAGGGAGCGAAGCGACCGAGGGGGGGTG